TGTCGCCAAGTGCTACGCCTGCCACGCAAAGATGGTGTCCCAACATGGGAGAAGATGGGGCCGACACAACCCAACGTGGAGCCGTACATTCATTCTGCAATGTGTCCCAAAAGCGCCCAACATGGGGCCAAAACGAGGCGGACGGAGGCAAACTGTGCCACATGCTCCGCAAACCAGTTCGGCAAAATATGGTCCTAATGTTGTCGAAAATTGGATTTGCATACGCTCCATGCCCTCAGGGCAAAGCTGCATCAACTCCCTGCGCTGTTCCAGCACTTTCCGTCATCAAAAATTGGGTTTGCACACGCTCCATGCCCCCCCATGAGCTTGAGATCAGGCAAGCATAACCTAAGTGCAGCATGCACAAAAGACAGAAACACAAACAACCAAAAAATCACAGCAAAAACCATCAGCAACACACCCCAAAAATTATTGCTTTCTTGGTATTTATGTTATGTTTTACGAACGTGTTGCATGGACGAAAATTCAACGACACTGAAATGTGTGAAGATAAACCATGATAAACCCAATATGGTCCCAACCCTTGCCCAACAAAGGCCAACACAAACCACAAAATCCATCAAAATGGCCCAACATGAGCCCAATATGGTGCCGACATAGCCCACAATGGCCCAAGACAAGCCCGAGATCAGGCAAGCATAGCCGCGTTGGATGGACGAAAATTCAACCACACTGAAATGCCCAAATCCAAAACAAAGGCCGACACAGATCACAAAATAGCCCAAGATGGCTCAACATGAGCCCAATATGGTGTTTCTTCCTTGGTCGAAGGAAGTTTAGAAGTCAAACTTCCGACAATATGGACAGATGAAAAGCAGAGCAGGGAAGAGGCAGGGAGAAGAGAAAGATTAGAAGAAAGAAGAGTAAGAAGAAAGAAGATGCAGATGCGTGAAAAGGTAGGAAAGTCGCGAAACACTGTGTTTTTCCAATGGTTTGGGGCTCCGGAGGGTCGAAAAGTAGGCTCGCTAAAGTGGCGGGTGCGGAGCCAGCTGGCCAGATCAGAGATAAAAAATTGCACGCCGTTGTGGCGCGAAGCAAATTTCCAAATCAAAATGTACAAAGCACACCATTGTCGGACCACTTTTGGCAGTTGAGATGTAGGAAAAGTGCACGCCGTTGTGGCGCGAAGCACATTTCGATGTCAAAATGTACAAAACACAGAATTCTCGGACCACTTTTGGAAGTTGAGATGTCGAAAAAGTGCACGCCGTTGTGGCGCGAAGCACATTTCGAAGTCAAAATGTTAAAAACACTAGGGGTTCGGACCACTTTTGGCGGTTCAGATGTCGCTTCGCTTTCCTTCGCTTCACTAGATTATTACACTACATTACACTACACTACATTACACTACACTACCTTCCACTACACTTCACTTCACTACACTACACTCCACTACACTACAACTACAACTACACAACTACACGCCACTACACTCCACTACACTAAATTACACTACACTAAATTACATTACACTACACTACACTACATTACACTACACTACACTACATTCCACTACACTCCACTACACCACACTACATTACACTACACTACCTTCCACTACACTTCACTACAGTCCACTACACTACACTCCACTACACTACAACTACACAACTACACTCCACTACACTCCACTACACTCCACTACACTAAATTACACTACACTACACTACATTACACTACACTACATTACATTACACCACACTACACTACACTACCTTCCACTACAGTTCACTACATTACACTACACTACACTCCACTACACTACAAGTACAACTACGACTACACAACTACACTCCACTACACTAAATTACACTACACTACACTACGAAACACTACACTCCACTACACTACTCTACACTCCACCACACTAAATTACACTACACTTCACTACATTACACTACACTACACTTCACTTCACTACACTACACTCCACTACAACTACACAACTACACGCCACTACACTCCACTACACTAAATTACACTACACTACACTACATTATACTGCACTACATTCCACTACACTCCACTACACCACACTACATTACACTACATTACACTACACTACATTACACTCAATGACACTGCACCACAGATAGACAGGTAGACAGATAGATAGATAGACAGACAGACAGGTAGACAGCTAGACAGATAGACAGATGAAGAGAGAGAGAGAAAGAGAGAGAGAGAGAGAGACAGAGAGAGAGAGAGAGATAGATAGATAGATAGATAGACAGATAGATAAATACATACATAGATAGGTAGGTAGGTAGGTAGATAGTCAGAGAAAGAGAGCGAAAGAGAGGAGACCTCAACCACCTTTCACTCCATCAGTGGCTTCGCTCTGCCATCCCTGATTCACAACAACCATCCTCTCCTATAGGTTTCCTATTTTTGAAACTTCCGCCACCGCCTTGTGCGGTACTACTGGTATTTATGGTCTTTTTTGCAAACGCGTTGCATGGACGAAAATTCAACGACACTGAAATGCCCAAGTCCAAAACAAAGGCCGACACAGATCCGAAAAAAGCGCAAAATGGCCCAACATGAGCCCAATATGGTGCCAACATGGCCCAAAATGTCCGAAAATGGCCCAAGATAAGCCTAATATGGTCCCAACTCTTGCCAAAAACATGGCTCCAACATTAGCCAAATATGGTGCCAACGTGGCCCAAAATGTCCCAACATGGCTCAAAATATGGTCCCACAAACCACAAAATACCACTAAAATGGCTCAACATGAGCCCAATACGGTGCCAACGTTGCCCAAAATGTCCCAACATAGCCCAAAATGGCCCAAGATAAGCCCAATATGGTCCCAACTCTTGCCCAACAAAGGCCAACAGAAACCACAAAATACCACCAAAATGGCTCAACATAGCCCAATACGGTGCCAACGTTGCCTAAAATGTCCCAACATAGCCGAAAATGGCCCAAGATAAGCCTAATATGGTCCCAACTCTTGCCCAACAAAGGCCAACACAAACCACAAAATACCGCTAAAATGGCTCAACAAAGGCAAAGGCAAACCACAGAATACAACAAAATGGCCCAACATGAGCCCGAGATCAGGCAAACATACCCTAACTGCAGCATGCCCCAAGAAAGAAACAATTACTCTACTTCGTGTGATCCCCACCATGACATGTCAGGACGTATATTTGGACATATATTTAGTATATTCTGACATCCTATCTGACATATATTCTGGCATATATTCTGGCATTCTATCTGGCATATATCCTGACATTCCCCCTGGCATTCTATCTGGCAGTCTATCTGGCATTCTATCTGACATATTTTCTGACATTTCATCTGACATATATTCTGGCATTCTACCTGTCATTTATTCTGACATATATTCTGGCATTCTATCTGACATATATTCTGGCATATATTCTGGCACTCTATCTGACATATATTCTGGCATACATGTTGGCATTCTATCTGGCATTATATCCGACATATATTCTGACATTCTATCTGACATTCTATCTGGCAGTCTATCTGGCATTATATCTGGCATTCTTTCTGGCATTCTTTCTGGCATTCTATCTGGCATTCTATCTGGCATCCTATCTGACATTCTATCTGGCATTCTATCTGGCATTCTTTCTGGCATTCTTTCTGGCATTCTATCTGGCATTCTATCTGGCATCCTATCTGACATTCTATCTGGCATTCTATCTGGCAGTCTATCTGACATTCCTACATGAGGTCCGGCAGGGAACACTTGGCGTGGATACTCGCAGTTGAGGTCCGGCAGGGAACACTGGGCGTGGATGGTCGTGGTTGAGGTCCGGCAGGGAACACTGGGCGTGGATGGTCGTGGTTGAGGTCCGGCAGGGAACACTGGGCGTGGATGGTCGTGGTTGAGGTCCGGCAGGGAACACTGGGCGTGGATGGTCGTGGTTGAGGTCCGGCAGGGAACACTGGGCGTGGGTGGTCGTGGTTGAGGTCCGGCAGAGAACACTGTGGATCGCGGGTCGCAGTTGAGCAAGGACGATGAGGACGACGAGGACGACAAGGACGACAAGGATGACAAGGAGGACGAGGAGGAGGAGGAGAGGAGGACGAGGCAGGAGGAGGCGGAGGAGGAGGAGGAGCAGGAGGAGGAGGAGGCAACTGACATAAAATCTAACAACCCTCACCTGGCAGGTGGGGAAAAACAAAAAAATAGCAGCAAAAACCATCAGCAACGCAGTTCACAAATTGCATTTTTTCCTGGTATTTTAGGTGTTTTTTGCAAACGCCTTGCATGGACGAAATTTCAACGACATTGAAATGCCCAAGTCCAAGGCAAAGGCCGACACATATCCGAAAATAATTCAAAATGGCCCAACATGAGCCCAATATGGTGCCAACATGGCCCAAAATGTCCCAACATAGCCCAAAATGGCCCAAGATAAGCCCAATATAGTCCCAACTCTTGCCCAACAAAGGCCAACACAAACCACAAAATACCCCTAAAATGGCTGAACATGAGCCCAATATGGTGCCAACGGTGGCCCAACATCCCAGAAGCGCGCAACATGGGCAAAAATGAGGCCGACGGAGCCAAAACTGCACCCTCCTGTTCTGCAAATCAAAAATTGGGTTTGCAAACGCTCCATGTCCCCCCCCACACCCCCCCCTAGGGCAAAGCTACATCAACTCCTTGCGCTGTTCCAGCGCTTTCCGTCATCTGCCCAGTGGTTGTCTGGTTGGCAATACTTCACCAGGGATGGTGCGCGCGATATGCCCTACTTTGGGCAAAAGTTTTGCTGAAGAGGACAACCCTGCGAACTCAACAAATGGTCTACGACAGTCGGGGAACTGTAAAACAATACCGCGCCAAAATACAACGCGTGCAGAGCATACCCAGCGTTATCTCCGGGTAGTTAAGGTAAAACATGTCACAGGTCAAAGAATTTTCTATTCCCACAGAACGGCTCCTGGAACACAACTAACGGGCCCGATTTGGCTATTCCAAGTTGGCCCACCTTGAAGAAACTCACAGCGCTGGCGCTGCGTCGCAAGGACTCCTCCCTTGACAGTGGCCGAAGTTGCACGTCCACCTCGGCAGCGCTGCTTCTGAGTTGATAATTCGTCCAACAGGTTGGCCTTACATTTTGGACTTGCTGAGCTTGAGTGAAGTGTTGGCCTGGACTTAGAAGTGGGAATGTTTTCGTTCGCGCAGACAGTTTTGTTTTCTTTGAAGTAGCCATGTAAAGCCATGCAAGCAGTCAGGCGCCAAGTCACCCGAACTTATCGGTGCATCATGTTTTTTTGATCCTAGATGCGTTGGATATATAACTTGCGCAAACAGAGCAACGGGGTGGCAGTTAAAAGCATTGAGTGGCATTGTGCCATATTGTGCCTGTCGAAGGCGAACCGATCTGAAAGGTGAATGCGCATTGGGTCCTGTGAAGAAACACAAAAATCAGCGAAGAAAACGGTACAAACACAACCATGCAGTCACCTGCTCCAGCCCATCCGCTTGAAATTGGGGCCGCGGCCATGGCGGCTTTCTCTGCCGGATCCATCTCCTTGCTGCCAGCCCTGACATGCTGCCAAAGTTGGGACGCCAATGGCTCATGCTTGAAAGATTACTTTCCCGTCTTGGCACCAGCTCATGGCCTTGAAAAATCATATTCAGCAAATATGTCTTTTGACCCACTCGGGTCTAAATTCAGCCCGTTGCAAAATAAATCAACATCCGGCGAAATTCCGATCTTGCGGTGACTCATTGGTTTTCCTCACCAGCCTGATCAATGCTTATGCCCCTGCCTTGACAAGGCCGGTCTCTGAGAAGTCTCCTGGAATGTTAACTGTTGACAAAAAAAATGCCAAGGGTGCACCCAAAAAAAATTAAAACCAACAATGAAGGTGCTGAAGGTGGCGCCGGCCCTTGCCCCAGACGCCTGGAATGACCAAGACACCCCAAGCCTGCCGGATCTCGGTTGCAGAGGCGGGGCGTGACAGCGGCACGCTACGCACCACTGCCACGCTGCTTAGGGAGGCCCTGTGCCTAGCGATTCAAGGGAATGCCTGCTGGGATTTCATTGTGGGATTTGAAGCCCTTCATCAGACTAACCCACATAGAACAGGAACGTATTTGGGGTGTAAAACGCCGCCAAATTATGCCGGGCTCAGAGACCTACACGGGACTTTTGGGTCGGCATTCGTTGCCCGACTGCTGGCTGTGAGAATGTTCAACAAACCAACCTGTGAATGATGTACTACGCCATGATATACACCGTAAAGATCAGCGTGAAAGCAGGGCAGGCATTTCCACACCAAAACCAAATGAAATTCTTTTGAGAAAAGCATAGGAAGACAAATGCTTTGGCAATTGTGAACCCTCAAGCCAGCTTGTGCGCCCCGGTTGCAAACACCTACGGTGGTTAACGATTCTGGTTCATCGGGCGTGCCTGGTGATGGCTGCCGTGACTGGAGAGATGGGCGCCTCTGCCTCTTCAGGGGCTAGCAACTCTTCGTCGCTCTCCAGCTCATTGGCGAAGGGCACCTGCATGGGCGACCGCCGGATCTCAATGCCAAACAGTATGCTTGGGCTGGGCACAGATTGACAGTTGAGATACCTGGTTTTTCTAAGCGGAAAACTGTATGAAACTTCACAAGCAGCATGAGCCAGGTGATGGTGAAATAGTGGTAGCGTTAGGGTCTTTAACGTGACAATGGGAGGAGGGGATTCTAAAATGCCAGAAGAACGGGCAGCCCGAACTGCATCGAACTCCTCTATCATCTGTCCTCGTTCATGGCGCTGGCTTCCTTATAGCTGCCACTGGGAGAACAAGTATATAGACATGATTGCTGTTTTATAGAGTCGAGCTTCCATGCAGACGCGTGTGCATTGGATGAAGAAAGTGTGAACTTTTTCCTTTATACCTCTCAACCAGGAGGGGCTATGAGATGTCTAATTGATGCCATCCTCGTGGTCCCTTGAGAACCTCGAAGTTGTCCCGTTCAGCCGTGGTCACAGGCACCGTGGCGGCGCGGACCAGGCCCTTTGAGGGCCGTGTCAGGCTGGGTCTGTCGATGCCGCGCCTGGTGAACGACATGTCATGGAACACACACACACACAGAAAACATGGACTTCTTGAAGATTTGAAGACTGTCTGTTTCAAATCTTACCGCCTAGATGCGTTTCTTTCAAACCAAAGTTTAGGACTTCCAAGAATCCACCATTACACCCTTACCCACTCTGTCCTTGCAAGTGTTGCAGTGCTGGAGCGGCGCCAAGGGGCTGAAACCGGCCGCGACATCGCTGAAAGCTCGCACTGGACAGGGGGTGAAGTCTGCCAGGTGCTTGTCTGGTAATCTGGGCATATATCTCTCTCCCCAAGCCCTCTACGCAGATGGAAATGCTGATAATTACTCATCGTGCCGTAGGTGACTTGTTTGCACACCAAATAAGATCGCATGGACGCATGTTGGCAAGTAGTGTGGTCCAGTGGCAAATACATGGCATAAAGAGACAAATGACCTTAAGGCCCGTGCCTCTTTTTCTGGGGTAGTCTGTCTACACGCTTGCAAAGTTAAGATTGGTCCTATTATCTGTCTTTGGTAGGTGCCCGAATGAGGTGTTATTGTCTGAGGAGCTGATTCAGCCGCGTTCGGCGGTGGCTTCAAGCAGCTGGGTGAGACGGGCAGCAAGGGCTTTGATCAAAGTCCGACCAACAGCAAGCATGGCCTCTATACCGATGTTCGCACCAAAATTGTCGATTGAGACCATAAACGCCGCTAACCTGTCTAGCACGCAGCCTTACACCTGCTTTTTTGAACAAAGCCCGTAAGGCCCTTAATTAAGTGCTATCGCTGAGCACTTTGAACCAAAAGTCGGCAAAGTGAACTGGACACTCAAGCTCAAGACATATTGCAATAATTGTTGATATTGGCGGCCTTGAGAAAAAGCCTATGAGAGCTGGGCATTCAAGACCGCCCCTCAAATTCAAACTTGAACGTGAAATTGCAAGTATTTAGCGTGTGGTTCTTCGAGAAATATCCTATACTCACAGAAACCATGTGGAATAAATTGCCTCGAAGGGTATCCCACACTGGATATCGGCCTGCATACCTAGACCCCGGAAGAAAGCAAAGGCTTAGGGTTGCGCAAAGTTGTCACCCCCTCAAAAGACACGTTCGTTTTTGCGTCTTTTGCTGCTCGTTCGGCCCAGTGTTCGGCTTCGCCAGCCAGAATGGCTCAACCCTGGTGAAAAGGTTGAAAGGGGACGCGCAGGCCAGCGCCATGACGGATGTGTCATGAACAAAGACAGTAGAACCATCAGCATGTTTAAAAATATAAAGAATTATAAAAATAATATTGTTTGTGTGTAATTATGTCAATGTTCCACCCTTTTTGGGTGCTACCCCCCAATGAGTCCTCAAATTCTCACAATAGAAACTTGGCGGGGTCCCACTCAAATTGAACACGATGTCATCAGTCTGTTGATTCGTCTGAGATGCTGGGTCCTAGTTTCCATCCTTGGCATCCAAACGGCAATGATTTTCCTTTGATAAACATAGGTATTGATACTGAAGATGCCTACACCAGGGTTATTGCCTCAGTCTGATGTGTATTGTAATTAGCTATGGTGCCCGGCTCTGTGGAAGTTAAGAGGGCCCAATTCATTCAAATAAAGAAGGGTTTGCACAGCTACCAGCTCCACTGTTCCGATCTGAAAGCGCCATGCTCCAACTATGAAATTGCGACCCTCTTCCAATCACGACATGTTAGGCAGGTGGGTGGCAAGCTTCCCAACTGCGTTTGTTGAGCGCCATGGGCAAATAAGCACGACAAATTTTAGGGAACCACCTGCTTTGATACTCTTCGGGAATCAGCAAATCATCCCAGCAGCCGGGCAAGATTGACGGCTTTACACTAAAATATAATGAAGCAATAAAATAGCTGAGCCATGCTAAATCCAACCCTTTTCAACAACCATTTGCTGGCAGGGTTGTGACCTCGGTTGGCCACACGAAAAGTCCTGTCTCGCAAGCACTGCCCAAGGCTTTCAGCCCTCTTCTCCGCTTCTTGCATTTGTTGCTCGTAGGATCTCAGAGACCGAATTCAAATCTAAGAATACAAATCTCTTCAACTTCAACGTCCATGCTAAATATTTCCGTATCCCTTTCCAATCTTTTTATACGGGAAGAACTCCCCAAGTCCCCAAGCTTCCTTTTCAGGTACAAATGCCACGGGCCATCCTGCCGGGTCCGCTCGGCCCTGGCCATCCGAAAGACATCTGCCTCCAAAATCAAATACCAGCAGTAGTTCAAGGAAGTCTCCCGCAACTTCTCGAAGCTATGGATATGTTCCTTACGTTTCTTCTCTGGTAACATTGCTAGATGGGCTTTCAAATCATCTCCGACCAATGATCGGTCAAACGTTGACAAACCGAGATTGCGAACCATCACGCTTTCTAGTAAAAATCCTGGATATCAAAGCTGCTTTTTGGAACAAAGCCGTTAATTAGGTGTTATCGTTTGCACTTTGAGCCAAATGCCAGTGCATGAAGCCAAGACTCAAGCTCAAAGCATCTGACAAACTTGGATCAAACTCAGTTCCAGTGAGGACATAGCAATGCCGGCTGTGCTCAAAAAAAGGATTCTGCCAGCTTGCTGGGAATTATTTCATGAAACTAGGTTTGTGTTATTGGAATGACCCCCCTACCAAAGCTAATTGGCCCAGCTCCCCTGGCTCAAGTTCTCCGAAACCCCGCAATCCCAAAACTTCTAGGTGGAGCAGCCTGCCCCATGCAAACCCATAAGTCTCCAACCGATTCCCCCTGCGGCTTTTGTTTCAGAAAGCGGTTGACGTCACCAGCCGCACAGCAGGACGTGCGACTGGAATGGCTTCAAGCCTGGCGACGGAACATCGTGAAATCCCAAGGGCCTGAGACCAGGGAACAATGGAGCGAAGACCAGCTGCGTGTCAAGGGTGTTGATGTACCGTTTAGGAAAGCCCGAATTTCCCCGGCTCTACCCTGCGACCAACTCTGGGATGTGTATCTAGAGTTGGCTAAGCGGATAAGAAGGCCCAATTCACTCGAGTGTGTCTGTCTATGCCATGCACATGTCACATGTCAATATAGATATTGTAAATTAATGTAAATATTTTCAGTTCTAGTAGTTAATATGTTTTTCATATATATTATATATATATTATTTTGTATACATATAATGAATTTTTCATACGCGCTTAGATACATACGGTGACAATCAGTGACGTTCGTGTTGGACTGTTAGAAATTTCAATGGTGGTTTCAACCTTTCCAACTCTTGAGCAGCACAAGAAGCAACCTACGCAAAAAAAATAATTGGAGATGATTGCCTTTCAGCTGCCCCAAAGGTCTAAGTGGAGACTCATACTTCCTTGCCTTCGTTTGAACCCCTGGCCGTCACCAGCCCTGCAATAACCAACACTCGATAATGAAAAAGGGTCCCCAGGTGTGAGCAAGGATTGACCACCACTGTTATTTTCCAAGAGCCAGAAGCCCAAAAGTTCCGGGTTGGAATTGGCAAGAAACTGGAGGGGTTGAAGTCACGACGCAGCGAAGCCGCGCGGCTTCTTGCTGAGCCTGCCCCTCTTCTTGCCAAAAGGGAAGAACTCCACAAGCTTCCTGCCAAGGTACAAATGCCAAGGGCCATCCTGTTCGGTCCACTTCTCCTGGGCCGTCCGAAGGATGTCTACCGACAAAATCATGTAGACGGAATCTTTGCTGTCCTCCCGCAACTTTTCGAGCCTCTGGATATGTTCCTCCTGCTTCCTCTCTGGTAGCAATGCTAGATCGGCTTTCAAATCACCTCCAAAAGGTGAAGCCTCCCACTCCCTCAGGTGCTGTATGACACGCAAAAAAAACGCGTAGCATTCCATATGCAATTTCCATGTCTCTTCTTCAGACCCAGCAAAAACACGCTCCGTGCGTGTCAACTGATATGGACAAGTCTTCGAGAGGCGCCACGCAATGGCCTCCAGCAGTAATCCTTTCGGCCTGTCATCGAACTGGAGTGATTTGACTCCAATGATGGCAGCTCTGGCTGCAGGCGTTTGCTCCAAGAATTTGTTGATGCGGGCAGAATTGTTGTAGAAGTCTTGCCCTCCACGAAGCCTGGGAAACTCCTCCTGCCGTGGTCTCCAAAGTACAAGATCCACATGAATTTTTGTCTTGATATTGTCAATTCTGGTTCTGGTCCTCATTTTGAACTTGATGGCAACATTTCCAACTATGACGGGTCCGATAACAGAATTCAACATCTCCAAGTTCCTTGCTACCTTCTGCATATCATCATCCGTAAATGGTTCGTCTTTCCGCTTACTTCTCGGATCCCTTTTGACCTGAAAGTCCAAGTCATTGTCCTGTATCACGGCCCTCCTTCTTGTTCGGGACCCGACCATTTCAATGACAATAGGGCCGAGAGCATGGCTACACGCATCCACCAAGTCCCAATATGATTCGCTGGACAGAGTCCGATCTGTCGCAGCTTCCATGCTAGAAACGACTGAAGAGGTAAAGCGCCGAACCAAACGGTCACGGTTCGCTTGGACAAACTGTTCTTGCGTTTTGGCAGGAGCTTGCCTCCACTTTAGCGCATTTTTCCCCACCTGCCAGGTGAGGGTTGTTAGATTTTATGTCAGTTGCCTCCTCCTCCTCCTCCTGCTCCTCCTCCTCCTCTCCTCCTCCTCCTCGTCCTCCTCGTCCTCCTCGTCCTCCTCGTCGTCCTCGTCGTCCTCGTCGTCCTTGCTCAACTGCGACCCGCGATCCACAGGTTCTCTGCCGGACCTCAACCACGACCATCCCGCCCAGTGTTCCCTGCCGGACCTCAACCACGACCATCCGCGCCCAGTGTTCCCTGCCGGAACCTCAACCACGACCATCCGCGCCCAGTGTTCCCTGCCGGACCCTCCAACCGCGACCATCCGCGCCCAATGGTCCCTTGCCGGACCTATGTAGAAGAAAATGTCAGATAGAGTGCCAAAGATTTGCCAGGTAGAATGCCAGAAAATATGCCAGAAGATTTGCCAGATAGATATGCCAGAAGATATTCCAGAAGATATGCCAGATAGAATGCCAGATAGAATGCCAGATAGAATGCCAGAAGATATGTCAGAATATATGCCAGAAGATATGCCAGATAGAATGCCAGATAGAATGCCAGAAGATATGTCAGATAGAAGTGCCAGAAGATATGCCAGATAGAATGGCAGAAGATTTGCCAGATAGAATGCCAGAAGAAGATCATATGCCAGAAGATATGCCAGATAGAATGCCAAATAGAATGTCAGAAGATATGTCAGATAGAATGCCAGAAGATATGCCAGATAGAATGCCAAATAGAATGTCAGAAGATATGTCAGATAGAATGCCAGAAGATATGCCAGAAGATATGCCAGATAGAATGCCAAACAGAATGTTAGAAGATATGTCAGATAGAATGCCAGAAGATGTGCCAGTAAGAACATATATAAATGTCATGGTGGGGATCACACGAAGTAAAGTAATTTTTCAGTACATTTGACACCTGGGGATCTTTGAGATCGTCCGGCATGAAAAACATCAAGACACCTCTCCTGTCTCCGGGAGGCAGCAGAAAATTCCAACAGACTGTGGCCGCAGCCAGGCACACAGTGGACAGTCGCCCAAAGCTGCTCTGCCTCATCTTGATGGGCATGGCTTGGCCATCCCGCGGCTCTGGTTGCGCACAGATCCTCAAAAAAACGAAACAACAACTGCTTTGGAAATGCTGTGTTGCGCTGTGAATGTGTGAGTCTGATTCCTAGAGCAATAATGTTGCTGCTTGTTTCGGGCCCTTCTTCTCAGAGTCATGGCTATCAGTTGTAACATGTTGTAACATGATTTGGAGCCAAAAGGCCAAATGCCTATGGGGAAATGACGGGCCACAAAATGGACATAAATGAACAAACCACCTCACTTCTCCGGTCACGCGTCAAGTAATAACAGGTTTTAGCACTCACCTGCATGGTCAAAAAGACCTTCTATGGGTCAATTCCCTTGAATCGGCCCTTGAATGATCTTGAATGCAATTTCTTGCCTTGTGCGGAATTTGGAATGCGGTCATGATATGTCACAGTCACGCTGATCCAGGATGTAGTTTGCAGTTGAATTAGCCAAACCCAAAAGCCAAGCTTGAATGTGCCCCAAAAATAAATCTTTCAGATAGCAAACTGCAGTAGCCTGCCCCTGCCCTGTATGCCCACAAGAATTGGGCCTCTCCACTGATCGCATCCGTCAACTGCAACTGATCCGTCAGCGTCTCCGCGAGCACATCATGGAATTGCCATGGGAGGTCCAGTTCCCAAGGGTCCCGCAGCCACTGGGCAGCTGGATCTGTCCTAATGTCGCCTGGTCAGTGTAAATTATAATAGTTCCTCAGCAAACATGTGGGTGCCTGGAAGCTTTGCTTACTCATATGGTCTTTGATTGGGATCTAAGATGATCTAAATGCATTTGATTTACGCTTATATAAATGGTGTTCTTGAGAGAAACTGACGAGATAAACACATAGAACCATTTTCTGACAGGGATGAAACGAGCGAGGAACCAGACAAAAAAGTCAAGAATAGAAGATGCCTCGTAGCAATGTCACAGGCCCAGGATATTGACGTGATAAGTTGGCTAAAGGATATTGAGACGGACAGCAAGGGCTTTGCTCAAGATTCGATCAAGCAAGCATGACATCGACTAATGTTTGGCCAAATGTTGACGCACCGATTTTGCAAACCATCAAACTTTCTAGTACAATTCCCGAATATCACAGCTGAACACAGCTGCTATATCTGCTATTTTGATCTATTTTGAACGACGCTGTTAATTAAGTGCTTTGAACTTTGAACCCCAAAGTGGGTAATTTGACAAACGTTCGAGCACAAAACATCTTACTTGTTGACCTTGGAGAACTTAAATAATCTTGAGGTATGGTCATTCAGGCTGGCTAAGGTCCTCGCACGGAGGAGTAATTAGCCCTCAGGCTCAGTTCCATCGGTGAAATAGTAATCGACCTAAAAAGTGGGTCTGCCGCATTCTACTGCTGTTATTGGAATCAACCGTTTCATGAAACCAGGCCAGGCATATGATTTTAGAAGGTTGTCAGGGCACCAAGCAAATTGCAAAATCGATTGATGCAATGTATCTGGAATGGCAGATAATTACAAAAGATAAATGGCTCAGCTCGCCCGCCTCAAATCCAATCCCCAGCCACCCACAATACTCCCAGCAGTTCCCCTTGAGATTTTGTGCCCCAGAGCGTTTGACATCACCAGCCGCACAGCAGGACATGCGACTGGAATGGCTTTAAACCTGGCGACGGAACATCGTGAAATCCCAAGGGCTTGGGACCGGGGAAAAATGGAGCGAATTCCAACAAAGTGTCAAGGGTGTTGATGTAACCTTTAAGGTAACCCAAATGAACCCAGCTGCGACCAGCTCTGGGGATGCGTATCTGGAGTTGGCTAAATCACCCGATTGTGGCCCTTAATGCTGCACAGACATGTCACATGTCTATATACTATTATATCTAATTATATAGAATATATTATGAACTGCCAATTGGTGTATATATGTGTATACCCAGGCCTTCCAAAGGCCAGGTTAAACTTGGCCGTTACACTAACAGCCGGCCGTTACCTAAAGACCATCGAAAACCCATGGTATTTATTTATATAAATTTACATAATGGTCATGTTGATCTTGGGAATCTTGGGATATATGTTAACATATATAAGGGGAAACCCGCCAAACCCCACATACACTCCACAGCCTCAGCAACAACAGCTGCGCATCAACCAATTTCAAGTCTATAAGTGCCAAGACTGCTTGAAATGACCAATGGTTCCAAAGATTTCAATGAAATGCCCGTGAAAATTTTGAAAAGACTACAAAATACCCAAACAAATGAGTAAAACTTAGGCGCAAGTTTTTGGTGGCTTTTCACGGGTTTTTCACGGGTTTTTCACGGTCGTTTCACGGACTTTTCACGGCCCAGATTTTGTGGGAAATTTCAGATAGGTACTTTCACTAGATCATATTCTGTTTTGTATTTGGTGACATCATGATCTAAGACTTTAAGATGCAGACGTTTGTGCAGAGCCCGTGCTCCCAGGCGCATTTTACTTGCATCGAATTGAACCAAATTGCCTTTTTATCCACTTATCTATTGACCATGATTTCCCAACATGACATGTGAGCTTCCTGGACAAAGTATGTATAATGGTTATAAACATAGCTATAAAAAGGAGCATCTTCCAAGAGCCAGGTTAAACCTGGCCGTTAGTAAAGGCCAGGTTAAACTAGGTCGAGGAAGGGCTGGGATATTACAAATTATTATAATATGTTTTGACTTCTTAGATGTTCATGATGTTTCAATGATTGGCCCAGCCTTTCTAACTCGCGAACAGCAGAAGAGTGCATCCGTCACCCAATAGATGTTGTGAACAACCTCTCCTAGAATCCCCAAGAATTTTTGATCACGAGTACAGCACGAAAAAAAACAAAAGGCTACTGCGGCTACTGATAAATATGGAATGGTTCATTCGAAATTTTACTTGGGCCGGATTTTGGGGGAATGGTGCCCCGAGCCCGGATTTGATCCAATCAAATGGAATCAGTTTTGGTGTGCTCTATTTCAGAAGCCCCCTGAGTTTCCGATGTTTCCGCGCGGCGCCGCGTTGCACCCCGCCATGATCCTCCGTGTCCCACCATCCCAAGAGTTGGCCATGACGCCTCTCCAATGAAGGCATCCGTCAACTGCAACTGGTTCATGGGCGTCTGCACATCATCGAGTTGCCATGGGAAGTCCAGGCCACTGGGTGGCTGGATGTGGGAACTTCTTCTTCATAAAAAGGCATCCATTTGGGCCATCTTGGGGCCACTACTTTCTTCGGAAACAGGCTTCAATGTTGAGGGTTTCATAAAAAAAAGGTCGCTATTTTGTACGAAAATAGGCTTGAATCTTGAAGACGTCTTTTTCATAACAGCATGACTTTTTAAGAACGAATGCTTAAATGTTGATACAGTAAGTTAATCTTTCATAAGAGGCAAGTCTTGTATGAAAACAGAGCCTCAATGTTGAGAAGGCTTGCAACCTCGCGAGTTACCCCTATTTTTTGGGCAGAATGTATTAGAATCAAACTGTCGAAAGCAGTATCTGCTTGTCAGTGAAGAAAGGCTCCTGCGTTTATTTTTTTGCAGCTGCAAAAATCAAATCGATTCAACCCTTTCGCGGAGTCTCTATGTCGGTGCATTCTGCCGTTGAACCTGGCACATTGTGGGCTTTTGTAGATGGTTGAATCAAAGATTCTGTGACAAGTTGTTTGAGAGCTCTTTCTGTGCAGCTTCAAACAAGGAGTTCAGACGGACGGCAGAGGCTCTGATCAAGATTCGACCAACATGCAGCAAGCATTGTGTCTACTGTCAAAAGAGATTGCAAACCAACAGCCTGTATGGCACACATCCTTGCAGCTGCTACTGTTTGAACACAGCCCTTAACTATATAAGTGCAGCTCAGCGTGTTGAACGACATATAATAAATTTGAACGTAAATTCAAGCTCAATTTTACTTATCTTAGTTGTTGGCCCTGGCACACTCAAATAGTATCCGCGCATGACAATTCCGGCCGGTTAAGGTCTTTGCACCAATTAGTGCTGCTGTCAAATTTTGGCCTCACAATGTTATTCCACATGATTCCACCGCAGTTGAAATCAACTGCTTCATGAAGTTACATCAGGCATGCGATTTTAGGTGGCCAGGGCACCAAGTAAACTTCAAAACAGACTGGCACAATGTTATTGGGAATCGCCCCTGCCAAAGCTAATTGGCCCTAGCTGCTGAAATCCCCCCCTGGGCACCCAAACTTCTGGGCTCAGTTTGCTCCATGCAAACCCGCAAGTCTCCAAGCAGTTACCCCTTCGCTTTTGCTCCGAAAGCGATTGACCTCACCAGCTGCACAGCAGGACGTGAGACTGGAACGGCTTCAAACCTGGTTGCGAGCGCAATGAAATCCCGTGGTCATGGGCTTGAGACTTGGGGGGCACAGCAAGAAACTCGGGGAAGATGGAACGAAGACCAGTCACGCAACCCAGCTATTCAGAATGATCACAGACAGTTAGTTGCCCAAAAAGGAGCAAGATTATCTGATTTAAAAGGGGCTGCCAGAGTATGCGTTTTGGCGATCTGATAGGCCAGCGAGCACCCATCCCTCCTGGGCCTAGCCTACAACAAGCCCCTCGGAGCTGCACAGAGTCGCACGGCTTCGCTCAAAGACCTGCATGGTTCGGAAGATATCCACTGGTTACTGGTTGAGTTCCAAAGTCATAACGGCTAGTTCCAAGCCTACCTGCCATCCCAAGAAAGCACAGATGCCCAAGACCTTTGCCCCCGCTTCTCCCGTTCTCGCATCTTTTTGTCGAGCTCACCACACCTCATGGCACTCCAGATCTCACAAGTCGTAGGGGAAGAATTCCGCAAGCTTCTTTTGGAGGTACGTAGGCCAAGGGCCAGCCTGCTGGGTCGTCCACTCTGCCTTTGCCGTCTCAAAAATTTCTGGCAACAGCATCAAGTAAAAAATATCTCGGCTACCAGTCGATTTCGCCAATTTCTCAAAACTCTGGATGTGTTCCTCTCGTTTCATCGCTGAAAGGGATTCCAGATCTTTTGTCAAACGCCTTCCAAAGCTTGAAGCCTTCCAATTTCTCAGCTCGCGCCGGACATACATAAAAAAATGAAAGCATTCCTTCTGCAATTTCCAAGTCTCTCGTGCAGACCCAACATATTCACGAGCGGTGCGTGTCAACGAGAATGAACAAGTCTTCGAGAGGCGCCACACAAGGGCCTCAAGGATCATTCCTTTGGGCCTCTCATGCCAGTAGAATTCTTTGATTCCAATGACGGCAGCTCGTGCTGATGGCGTTTTCTTTAAAAATCTGTTGATGCGCGCGGTATTTTTCGAGAAGTTCTTGCCGCCTCGAAGCGCAGGAAACTCCTCTTGCCGGGGCCTCCAAAGCACAAGATCAACATAAAATAAATTATCAATTTCGAACTTGATGGCCACGTTTCCAATAGTAACAGGCCCGGTCACACATGGCAACGTTTCCAAGTTTTGTGCCACCTTGAGCTTGTCGAACTCTGTGAATGTTTCATCTCTCCGTCCGCTTTCGCGTGAAGGTCTATGTCATTGTCCTGTATTGCTGCGGTCCTTCTTATTCGAGACCCCATCATTGAAACTACTATATCGCTGCCGAGGGCATGCTTGCATGAATGAACCAAGTCCAGTGCTGATCTTGGTCTCAGACGAAGATCTATTGCCTCTTCCATGCTCTTAACAGCTGAAAGCATGAAACCACGAATCAAACGGTCTTGGTGCATCTCAAGGAAGTGCTGTCTATCTGCGAAAGGAAGTTGACTCCATTTTTGCATGCCTTCCTTTACTGCATCACGTACATCAGGATCTCTCACCTCGTTTAGGCTTAAAAAATACAAGACGCCTCTTCTGTCTCCGGATGGTAGCAACGGAGGCAAACAAACTGTGGCCGTAGCCAGGCCCACAACTGAAAGTCGCGTGAGGCTGCTTCGCCTTGCCTTGACAGGCATGGCTTGGCTCTCCCGCAGCTCTACCAAAAAATGCCGCTGATGAGCGCTGAAGTTGCCTTTAATTGCTTAAAAAAACTCACCGCGCTTTGCAAGTGCTGTGCTGCCTATGCATCTCAGGTGCGCTGAAGATTCGTGTTGCTTGTTAGGACCCTTCTTCCAAGAGTCGTCTGCCATTAAATCATTGGTCGCAACATTATTTGGAGCCAGAACGCCAGAAGGCTAAGCAGAAACCGGCATTTCGTGTTGTAGCAGGTTCAGGACTCACCTGCACCATGATCAAAGACCTCACATTTGTCCATTCCCATTGCTTCCCTTGGGTTCTGCACTCAAACCTCCACACTCGTGAATGAGGGCACGATCATCCATTCACAAGTAATAAAAAAAAACATCATCAAAACATCAAAACATCAAAAAGCAAACTTGATGTGTCCCACCAATCAACTTTTCATACAACAAACTGTGGCACCCTGCCCTGTGCTGCCACAAGAATTGGGCCTCTCCGGTGAGCGCATCCGTCAGCTGCAACTGATCCGTGGGCGCCTCTGCGAGCACGTCCTGGAGCCTTGAGCCCGACAGTTCCCGCGACAGTTCCCGCAGCAAGTCCCATGGGGGGTTCCCATGGGTCGCAAGGCTGGGGCACCAGGCTGGATGTGCGCCCAGGCCTCCTGGTCAGTGTAGTTCCTCAGTGGGAACACGGGGAAGGCTTAACCTGCCTCCGTGGAAGGGCGTGACCGAGATAGAAAATGTTGTGAATAGCCTCTCCAACCGACAAAATATGTGCATCTCTTATCGCTAGTATCTCTAAGAATTTTTGATCTCGACTCGGGTACATCACCAAAGATTACAAAGGCTTCATTCATTGAAGTCGCACTTCCAACCATTCAGATGCCGGGGTCCTTTTCCTTGGAAAGGGAAAAAATACGTCTTTTCCTTCACCCAATAACAGCAGTCAGCGTCAAGCTGCACAGCGATCACCGCTGCAGATCCAGGCCCCTTAGCACACAAGAAGCTGCAAGCTCGACCCTCCAAGTGATCTGTTCACATCTGAATATGAACTTCTCAGGTTTCAAATGCTGGCACACACACAAAGGTTTTCAAATGTCTAAGGGGCGTCGGGTGGGTAACTCCAATGAACGCTAAGGAGTTCAAATATGTTCAAATGATGGCCGACTTTATGACTGGTGCATGCCCGTGCTGGTTTTAGCAGTGTTGAGCCTTAGTGATGCGGTCAAGTGATACTCTGCATCGAAAGTAATTATATAGATTGGAAGTGTAACTTATATGAAATTGTGCTATTTTGGGAACCGCTTGATCTTTTAAGCTTTGCTAGTCAAAGTAGATCGAAAGAGCAGGAACCACCAGAACTCTACAAGTTGAAATCCAGATAGGATAAACAGTGAAACTACCTGCAAACAGCATTCTTGACATGTCTTTAAATGCCTGCTCAAAAATTCAAGCACTTATTGCGGAATATTCTTGACATGTGTTTACAAACCTTAGCTTTCCCCAAAAATGAAGCACTTCCGCACAAGACCTGGGTAAACACCACTTCAATGGCCTCCTGTTCAAAGCCAGACATAGCTAAGTGATGAACTTTCCAGGCCCAGGCCAACAACCTGCACGATCTGAACGACTGATGAAAGGATCATAGCATTTGGGTTTTGGATAAGATCCCAATCACTGATGACTCATGACGTTTCAAAAGGTATTGCTGCTGGTATGGCTCAAGAATCTAGGCCCGCAAATCAGTGATCCCAACCCAAGTAGCTTCTCATCATGTCCGTTGTCCGTCTCAGTGATTTGTTTAGGGGTTTAGGGGTACTTTATCTCATGTATCTTGAGGCAAAACAAGATCATCTAATCAGGAGGGTGCCCCACACTGGGCTGCCAACCTCCAAGCTTCATCGCCATGCATGGGCAGGGTGGCCTGTGCCGGTACATGTGTGGTGGTACTTGTACGTGGTTCGAAAACACGGCTGGCTACAACTTGACGGTTGATTCTGCCCCCTGAAGGTCCACCACCTATGATTCATATGGAAGATGGATATCCATGGGGTGCCATCACCTTTCGCCTGCCAGGATCCTCGACACTTGCTGAGGGCGGATAGCAAGCCCTGCAGGGCGCTGGAAAGCGCCGCATCTGGAGCCTCCGCGAGACCCCCGGTGAACAATTCATTGGGAGGGGAACGCATCAGTCACCATTGGCAAAAATGGGATAAGCCAGGCACAGGTGAAATTTCTTACCCAGGATGTCAATAATACCACGAATCCTCAGAATTGATTATCGATGAAGTCTGCAAGACACATTGGTGACTATTTCAGCTTTGACCATTCATCGGCTGATTTCATGTCAAACCCCCTCAGCACTCCACTTTCTCAAATAAGGGCTTCGGCAAAGGATTTACCTACAGGTAAGTTCCAATCAAAAACATGCAATCCGCATTAATCCGCATTAATCCGCAATATGCCCTCATGTTCCCTCCAATCTGGGTGACCCATCCTACATCCTAAACTTCCCCCAAAAGTGGCCGTTGGATCGGCCGTTGGATCCCTGGCCTCACGGATTGCCCGTCTCAAGTGGACCGCCAGCCGTTGGCGGAAACCCAACACCTGCAACAAACAGAAACGCGGTCTGACAATTCCAATAAACAAAGCAGTTCATTGCACATCAACGTCCTTCACTATCTATCTTCACTATCTCTATGTGTATATATATATATTATAATATTATATAATACATAGATTGCGGTTGATTCAGAAACGGTATGGCTGTCACGTCAGTGCTGGTCTAGAGTCTAGAGTCTGCTGCAAACTATTACCCTTCACCCATCTCAAACGTGATGGAGCCTGACCCCACATCACAAGGCGCGGCCCTGGTAGTGTCAATGAAGCCTGGGGTGCTGAAATCCAACTCAGAGGCTGTCGGGAACCCAACCCACCGAAGCCCAAGCTCCATCAAGGGATGTCAAGGGGCCACAGTCGCTGCTAAGGCTCGTGGGCCAAAATGGGGAGCTGAGCGGTCCTGCAAAAATGAAGTCCACCCCGGAAACGTCAGTTGAAACATCTTGAAAACCATGGTTACGTACTTTTGGGGGTTGCTCACGTCCTGGAACTTTTCAGTGTTTCCCCATTGCCGTATACGTAAAACAGTTGGCTGGGACAGGCATGCTGCTACTTGCTACGCCTTGAAAACCCATAAGTGCAAAACCCCAAACTCCTCATCGTGGTTCTCCGTGAAATGGCACAACTTCCCTGGCAACCGCAATCAGGTGGCTTCTTTGGTTCAGCTATGTGAGGATTGGAAGCTCCATAACCTGGTAAATCCTCAAGCCGGTCTTGAAAACGATTCGAGATCTGTGCAAACAAATCCCAAAGTCAAAGTTTTAAACCAGTATATATCTACTGTTCAGTGGACTGTTCCTGCAAGATCTTTTTTATCCTCAAAGGCGGCTGAAAAATAAAAGTTGCTGCCCGCCTGAGCCCATGCAGGGATGATGATAGAGATGACCCCTCAACTTGTCCATGTGCCCCTCCGTCAGCCTCGACATGGGGACATCATTGGAAATCCGTCGAAAGCAGGACCAGCCATGTGACTTTCGGGAACAAATGGGAGCCACATGGCTTGGCAATTTCCAATCACTGAGTAGAAGAATCATCTTCTAAGATAAGGTAATCCTGGAGTTTCAATTTCACCTGACACCTGAGCCTGTAACACCTGCAACACCTGAACTTGAGCTCTATCCACCTGACATGGACCATGTACCCCATGGTCTTCACATCAAAACAGCTGGTAGTTATGGGTGTTCATCCCCCTAAACACGGCAGCTCCATGCACAATCCCCATCTAGTGGATCTTCATCCCCAAATATGACCATGCCCCCCCGGTTTTCAAATCAAATCATCTAGTTGTTATAGATGTTCCCCAAAGAATGGTTTTCATCAACAATCATCAACATATATCAAAGGGATTTTAACGGGGTTTGACATGTTACCCTCTGGTAATTTAACATAACTATGGAAGATCACCATAGAACTAGTGAATTTTCCCATGAAAAATGGTAGATCTTTTCATATTTTTGGTATGTTTACCAGAGGGTAACCCAGATTCCAGTGCCCGGCCTGTCGTACATCACCTTGTCATAGGCCGCGCTGAAGCCTTGCCGGAGCAGCTCCAACATCGTGCCGTGCGGCAAGATCTCTTCCTGAGCGAAGGGTCGCTGCCCAAATGATGGCTTCAATGGGCAGGGTGGTCGAAATTTGAGGCATATTGAAATCCAAACCCCTGGGAACACCTAAAAGACCCACAGATTTTACAGTTATATTATATATGTACCTGTACTGCTTACTTGTGGAATCAACATTGAAATCACCAGACACAGCCTTCATTTATTTTGGTACAGTCTTGATGCGCAATGGACAGAGTCTCTGGGTCATGGTCCTATTTTTGAAAAAGATCCGATTGATCCACGGCATTCACTGAAACTGCCTGGGCCCGAAAATGAAGAATGCTACGCCATCACCGCCCATCCGTGCATGACCAGCGTCATACTCGTAGCATTCTGCCACCAAGAGGAAGTTTGGATGACCTTACCAGGGACCACTGCGTGACTGCAGATCGAGGTGCAGGGAAAACGGCCATTTTGTCTGACAGTTACATATGGAATATGAGAACAAAATGGATAAGGTATAGAACACCTCTTCTCCAGCTTTCATGGAACCGATTTTCAGCAACAACAGCAAGTTTTGAATACTGATTCCCTTAATTTTCAGCTTCACTGGCCCTGTCAGCTGAGCATCTCTTCTGCAGTTGTGGAAGCGCCCAAACCTCATTTGCTCAGGAAACATGGCAAGCCACGTGAAGAACTCATCACAGAACCAGTAGGCCATCTGATCTAATTTTGATAACCTTACTGGGGTCCCAAATCACGAGACACTATGGTCACCGAACACGTCGGTGCTCGAGTGGTGGCAACTCAAACCAACTTTTGCTGGCGCCACCAACGCCCAGCAAATCATGAGTACTTTTCATGTTCCTCATGTTCCTCATGTCCCTCCTTTCCTTTGAGGAATGATTGCAAAATTGCCATCGGCGCCTATTTGGCGGGGCTTCCAGGCCAACACTCGGGAGCGTATCAGAAATCCCTACAGTATTTTCTTCAAGTTGGCTTTGCTTAGTGGACCCTGCGTGAATTACTGCTCAAATCATTGGCTTTGAATTTGGCAGCTTGTTGCATGTGGCTCTGCACATGCGCACCAACACAAGAGTGGCATCTCATCCAAACACAATGAACGCATCAAACCAGAAACCCAGAATTCTTCGTGTGGTCGCTGAAAACCTTGTTCTCGCAGCAAGGGGCCCCAGGTCCTAGTGCAACCGGCAGGGGCGACCTTGTTCAAGACCCTGAGCCATGACTGCCCTACAAACTGATTGAACCCATTGATGTGGCTATATGAAAGTGATGTCACTGGCTTCATTGATGCGGCAAACCCAAATCAAAAAGCTCAGATTTTGGATGGTTTATCCATTATCCGTCTCATTTCTGGTAAAATACGGCTTCAATTGTTCAATACCGGACCAAACTAGCTAGATCTACCACATTACATTCATGGGCATGTCTTGATGTCCCCGTTTCCCATTTAAACGGCCCTGCCGGAGGCCATCAGGTCCTCTCCACCACGTCGTTCACACAGAGCATGGCCATGTCCACCCGCATCCCGTCGCAGCGATCTGCCAGGTGCAACAACTCCTGCAGCATGTGCTGCCGACAGGTCTCCGACCTAGCGGGCACAGGCTTAGTGAAGGGCGGCACAGCCTTGGAAAAACCATGACTTGGGGGGGACCTTGGGGGTTCCGGCATGTAGAATCATTATGCTGCAAATATACATGCAAATATTTCATGATATTTTGGATGCCACCTTCAAACGACTAGATGACCCTTTTCCTTCCCTTTCGTTCCTTTGCCATCCTTTCCCAATCCTTTAAGTTGATGCCATGCCACCAATAATTCAACTGGGCGGTGTCCGTCCAGTCGCCAGAGTATGGATCACGTCCGAAGGCAACATCACCCTTTCGACCTGCGTGCAGGTGGAAGATACGTCAACTGAGATTGGCGCTACAGCAGTGGATATCAGTCGGTGGTTGCTTCACTCATGGCTCTTCCCCAAATCTCAGCGGAGTGTTGGATTGTTTCACTGATTGCAAGTTAGATTGGCCACCCCTGCCCATCAAAATTGAAGACATGTGAAACTCTATGGCGACCGGTCAGCAACTTCAAGGCGAGCAGCCTTTGATGAACAGGCCATCCGTTTCAGTCCAAGGACTATCTCTTGCCATATGATTTGGCCTCAGATTCACAACAAGCTTCAGGCTCAAGGTGTAGCAAATACAGCAAATTGCATTGGGTTGAAGGGGTGGCTGCGCCCTTTTGTGGCCCAAACGGAGTTGCCAGCCCCAGTGACCAGTTGAACCCCAAGCCAAAAACATATAGATCATATAGATTCATATAGACATTGACCTCACCACTCTGGCGTTTTCATTGGTCAGTTGAGGCACCATGTGGAGCCTCATCCCAACTCAAGCGCCAGCCAGGCAACACAAAATCCACCATCAGGGCCACACCTTTGGCAGCCAATCTCTGTCGGAACTTCGCCAAATCTTCCTGGAGTTGAAGAAAAAACCCTGGCCCTGGCCATGATGGGCTTGGAAAATGATGACAATCATTGGGTTTAGGTACAATCCATGATAACCCATTCATAATCATCATGTTTAATGTTGTTTAATATTTTTTACAATCAACCCATGAGAATCCAGATATCAAAATTGATAACCCATGAAAATCCATTGGTTTTAAACGTTTATATACATAATATAATATATATAAACGGTTTAGGCATACCCCAGTGTCAAACAAACCCAGATGGCCCAAACCGACAAGAGAGAGAGAGAGAGAGAGCCAGGAGTTTGAAGATCAACGGCATCTGTAGCGGGGTAGAGCTTCAAGTACTGAGTCTTTGCCATTGAAGCCCCTACAGACACCGCTCTACAGAGATCTTCAAAATCTGATCAAATCTGTAGGAAAGTCATGACCCCAGCCCACAGCTCCAGCTCCTCTGTGCCCAGCATTGGGTTGCACAGGTATTCATGCACTGCATATGGGGATCCGATGCAGTCATCCTCTGTAAAATCCTTGGCCAACAAGGAACCACAACTGAGTCACCTAAATGATGGACCTCAAAGTGGGATGAGAATCGCAAGTTTGCTTCGTGAGTCACGAAAATTGAGTGATTAGCCCTCAGAAACATCCAACAGTTTCCAATGTCTTCAAATTCCATCTTCGTATGTTCTGGATTGGCATCTCAGCCAGGAACCTAAACACCTACCCTCTGGTAAACTAACATAACTAACTATGGAAAATCACCATTTTTGAATGGGAAAATGAACTATTTCTATGGCCATTTTCAATCGTTTTTTCTATGTTTACCAGAGGATAAACCATTCCAATACCACCCCGTCCCATCTCTGCCACGTGTCCGGCAAGCAGTGGCGGAAATGTTGGCATCGCCCAGGATCTGCCAGGTCATGCTGTCGACCGTACGGACCTGCAGGTACCCTCTGGTAAACAGCCACATAGCGAACTGGAAAACCACCATGCTATTAATGGGTAAATCAACTATAAATGGCAATGTTCAATAGCTATGTTGGGTAATAACCCGTTGAACAATGTTGAAGATATCCAAAGAAGGTAAGAAATTCCGGTGTGGATGCTTCTGGGCTTACAAAAACAAAGTTTAGAGTGGTGGATACTTACTAGCCGCTTCCCAGAGGTGGATGTGAAATCCACTTGGGGTTATCTTCCCATGCGCATGTCATCGGCCCTTCAAACTTGTTTTGCCCCCCAGGGCCCACATGCATTCCAGTGACATCATCCCCAGCTCCCTCGCCGGAATCTCACAACAGATTTCGGATTTGTGACTCCATATGGCCCCAAGATGTCCCTATGATATACTAACTTATCTTGTTGGTGGTTGAGCCCTACCCCTCTTGAAAATATGAAAGTCAGTTGGGATGATGAAATTCCCAATATATGAAAAACATGTTCCAAACCAGACTATACTTCAACGCATCTGCAGCTGGGCAGCCCTGCCTAGCTGCCAGCAACCTTGGAGCCAGAGGACGTCAGTGCCAACTGACAGGGCAGCATCCAACTGTTCATCGGACACGTCTCGAAGCTTCGCTACCTGGCCAGAGAGGCAATGTATGGGGGTTCCTAGGATGGGTACTTGGTCAGTTTGAATGGGAAAACCCATGGGAAACCAGTAGTTTAGAGTACCACTGTTTAAGTCAAGGCCCGTGTGGTGTAAGAAGATTGGGATGACATGCAGCTGCTGTCCTACTAGCCGAGTGTTGCTGGTGGGATATGGGCAGACCTGGATGTCATACAACCAAGGCCGTGAATTCAGCAGCAAGATGGTGGGGTGCTCCGGAATGGGACAATGGCTGACGGACTCATGGCTTTCCGACATGAGGATGTTGTCAGAAGTCGGCTGAGTAGAGCCGCTATTACTCAGAGCTTGTTGGGGTTTGAATCCAAATGCACTGCTGTCTTGTTGACAAAATTTGTTGACTACTCTTATCTTGGTCCTCTTGGAAATGATCCGTCAAAGAGTTGCACACCATCCAGCATGAGTTCACTATGACTTCGTCTCCTATCTACCTTATGTGGTGATTCACACTCTCCAGTATTGAAAGTCAGACGCTGAAGCGGCAGCGACCAGCGGGAACGCAAAGTATATGCCAACCATGACCTCACAGGGTTAATCCTGACGATTTCCAACTGGTTTTGCCAACTTTGGGGATGAGGTCCTTTGATTTGATGCTATTCGGCCTTTCGGGGCCTGACGTAGTGAGCTTGCCAACTGTAATTTTCCAATCTTCAGAGAATGCATCTGAGATCATCTGAGTGTTCTGAATCCATTTGAGATCAAAGAACGGCACAGGGGTTGGCGCATTGAACCACCCTTCACAGGTCACACATCTCCGATTTTTCCTGAGCGACTCTCAGCGACATCAGGGGCGCCCTGATGTAAAGCCTCTGCCGATGGCCAAAGTCGATTTCAATTGTGGAATGAGTTGAAAACCCCGCTGGAAAATATTAGTCAGTTGGGATCATGATCCCCAATATATGGAAAAAAAGGTTCCAAACAACCAACATGGTTGAAATATGAAATATACGACCAAACTTACCCAAACTTACCCAAACTTACCTCAATCTGAGCCGTCAACTCCAATAAGATCTCATGAGCACACCATCAGGTGGAACACAGGATCACACGAAACTTCCAGCCCATCAGCAGCGAAGTCACTGAGCCGAGTGCCAGCTATGTCTCAGGAAGCTCAGCCTGGGCGCTGAGCTTCTCGGCCAGACCACGCTCCCGGTCATGAGAAGAAATCTTCACTGATGAGGCCAAAGGTGCTTAGCAAACCTGGAAGGTACACAGAAACAACAATTACATCATCAATTGTCAATTATCATCAACTATCATCCATATAATCAATCATCCTCAATCTGTCAATCATCATCATATACTGGTTGATGGTATACCTACCCCTCTGAAAAATATGAGTTCGTCAGTTGGGGTTATGACATTCCCAACTGAATGGAAAGTCATAAAATTCCATGGTTCCAACAACAGCAACCAGTAATGGATTTATGTTGAGTTATGTTGATTAATAAATATTAATAACCATGGCTAATAGTTATCATCAATTATCATCATAGGCTATGTTGATTAATCAATTATCATCATATACCATCATATATCATCATGTACCCTGACATTCCCTACCATGTCTGCTAGCCTCGCCCTCCAAGGTCAACTCCCTGTGGCCCCGTGCCATCTGCTTTGTCAGCTGCTGGGCCAGTGCCTGTGCGATCTCCACGCAATGGCTTGAGCTGGAACTTTTGAAGAAAATGATGGGAGAACTTCACAGGTAACCTGTTTTTCTTAATGGTTTAAATGGGTTAAAGGAATTTAGATCAGATTAACATAATGATCATTTAAATTCATTTAAACCATTTATGGCATCTTTATAAAGGGAAACTGATGACAAGCCAATGGACTTTGCAGGCCAATCCAACCTGGCTATTGGAAATTCCCATCTGTAGATGATTTTGCTTTGTCTGAAATCTGAAACTAGGACGCCTCCCAAAATCTCATGGTTTAGCTGGTTAACCATCATTTTCCCCTTCACAATTACTTTACTTCGTGTGATCCCCACCATGACATTTATACATTTTCTTACTGGCAAATCTTCTGGCATTCTATCTGACATATCTTCTGACATTCTACATTCTATCTGGCATATCTTCTGGTGGCATATCTTCTGGCATTCTATCTGGCAATTCTATCTGGCATATCTGGGACATACATTCTTCTGACATATCTTCTCTATTCTGACAATATCTTCTGGCATATCTTCTGGGATCTGGCATATCTTCTGGCATATTCTGGCACATCTATCTTCTGGATCTGCATTCTATCTGGCATATCTTCTGGACATTCTATCTGGCATATCTTCTGGCATATCTGGCATATCTTCTGGCATATCTTCTGGCATTCTATCTGGCAAATCTTCTGGCATTCTATCTGGCATATCTTCTGGCACTCTATCTGACATATCTTCTGGCATTCTATCTGGCATATCTTATGGCATATATTCTGACATATCTTCTGGCATTCTATCTGACATATCTTCTGGCATTCTATCTATCTTCTGGCATATCTTCTGGCATATCTATCTGGCATATCTTCTGGCATATTTTCTGGCATTCTATCTGGCAAATCTTCTGGCATTCTATCTGGCATCTATCTGGCATTCTATCTGGCATGGCATTCTATCTGGCATATCTTCTGGCATATCTTCTGACATTCTTTCTGACATTCTTTCTAACTTTCTTCTGCACATTCTTTGTCCCATATCTTCCTACATGAGGTCCGGCAGGGAACACTTGGCGTGGATACTCGCGGTTGAGGTCCGGCAGGGAACACTGGGCGAGGATGGTCGTGGTTGAGGTCCGGCAGGGAACATTGGGCGTGGATGGTCGTGGTTGAGGTCCGGCAGGGAACCCTGGGCGTGGATGGTCGTGGTTGAGGTCCGGCAGAGAACACTGTGGATCGCGGGTCGCAGTTGAGCAAGGACGACGAGGACGACGAGGACGACGAGGAGGACGAGGAGGAGGAGGAGAGGAGGAGGAGGAGGAGGAGGAGGAGGCAACTGACATAAAATCTAACAACTCTCACCTGGCAGGTGGGGAAAAAAGTGAGATAGCCACCATTTTCCAACAAAAAACCATTGAAGGACTTGAAAGAAGTTCCAGTTTCCAGCTTTGTCCCACCCACCTTGACACGAGCCAGAATGGCACCACGCTCCTGCGGGATCCCGGATGATCCCGGAGGGACTTTTGGATGACCAGTGATCACCAGTGATCACCAGCCATGACTAGTTGGTTGAGGCTGGTCCCCCTAATATGGGTTATCATCATCCCCCAATAAGACACTTATATATATATATATGTATACAGTATGACCCCCTATAAAGACCAATCAACAATGGCATCTTTAGTGGCATCTTTAGTGGCTCAAATTCACCTGAGAGTTTTGAAACACCCGTGAAGATTCTCCCAATCTTCACATGCAGATCTGCAGTTCAGGCTTTCAACCGCAGATGGATGCTAAATAATCTTAACCTTGGTTGACTCCATAAGGGCGCTTGCCCCCCCTAATAGTGATGCCATTAGGCCATTTGCTATTTGACTGGTAGCCCCTCCCAATTCAGCGGGGCCCGGTCCGGTCCTTCTCCTTGCTGGGCAGGAACCTGCCGAACTTCTGTTCAAACTTGTCCGGATGCCACCTGCGCATGGGGGTAGAAAGATGCCGGGAGAAAATGCTCATGGGAAACCTGGGAAAACTGGGAAGGCGTTGGATGCCACACTGGCCTCAGCAAACCAGCACGAAGTTGCGATCTCACCTCGGTCTAAGGGGCAGGAGAGAAATTAAGACGGTTGGGGCCATGCGATGATCCTCGTTCTCCTTGCACTACTACTGCAAAATGTCTAGAATGGATTGTGCCTATTTGTGCCTATGTTTAGTTATACTTTAGATTTAGATTCCCTAAGAAATCTAAGAACTTGAACCCAATCCGCTTTCTTTTTGGTAGCTTTCAGCATACGACGATTGACATCCAGTGACTCCGCTTCCTGCACTTGGCAACTGAAGTCAAGAGCATCCCGGATGAGCACTCAGGATATTTTTGAACAAAAGGAGGGACAGCCCAGCCTGAAATGGAAGAACACATTCTTTTCAACAAGTTTTGTCTTTGACCAAGTGCTCAACACAATTTCTATTCTTGCAGCGAAGGAAGGATGGTAGAAGACTGAAAAAGTTGCAGAGACAGCTGCCAGTTTGAGGTTGCCTCCAGAGCTTCTAGACACGGTCTGTAGCTGACGCGTGTGACCAGGTCAGCAGCTTTCATAGATTTCAGCAAGAATAAAGCCTGCTGCCAAAGTAAGGCATCACTGAGACAGCTGATAAGAGAGTTGTAGGTGACCGTGTCCGGATCAATCTTTCTGCAGATCATCTCCTCCAACAATTCCATGGCTTTCATCCAGTTGTCGCCACAAGAACTGATGGCTGCATTGAAAGTGACACAGTCAGGGGATAGTTTGTGCCGTGTCATTGTTTCCAGCAGCAGTAAGGCTCGATCGATCCGCACGAATGGAATCATGGCCCCGAAGCTAGTGACATCCGGTTCGATTTGTGCAGAGCACATCTGGCTGAAGATTATCACAGCTTGTTCCCATTCAGAACCCTTCCCCATACAGCTGATTGCGGCATTGTAAGTCACTACTGTGGCTTCCAGTGAAGCGTCATGCATCACACTCAGCAAACGAAGTGCAGCTTGCCATTTGCCAGACTTTTCGCATGAACTGATGGCCGAATTGTAGGATAAAACATTGGCCAAGATCCTTCTCTGCCGCATTTTCTTTAAGATCTGCATGGCGAGTTGCCATTCTCCAGGCTTTGCGGTCGCCGCCAAAGCAGCATTGGAGCTATAGAGGCTGATCTGCGGCATGGCGTCCAACAAACTCCAAGCCTGATGCCATTTCTCTGCTTCCCTGAAACATCCCATGACCGCGTTGTAGGAGAGCTCATCAGGGAAGATCTCTGCCAGGAGCATCTGTTGGAACAAACCAAGGGCGATTTCCCATGCCTGGCGACTTTCGCAGGATCTCATAGTTGCGTTGTAGCTCCTGACGTTTGGCAGAATGGCCATCTTCTCCATGCGCTTCATCAACGCCAATGCGTGGTTCCAACTACCAGCGGTTTCAAGAACACCCAGGCAAGCGTTGTAGCTCACCACATCCGGGAAGACCTTTGCCAGGAACATCTTGTGAAGAAGAGAGATAGCGATTTGCCATTCACCATCCTTCCTGCATGAACTTATAGCTGCATTATATGTGATCACTCGGGGAGCCAGGCCAAACTGTGACATGCTTGCCAGCAAGCTTGTCGCATACATCCATTTACCAGCCTTCTCGCAGGAACTTATTGTGGCATTCACAGTGATGACATCAGGTGAGACTTTTGCAGGCATGCTGTTAAATAAGGCCAGCGCTTGTTCCCATTGAGCAGCTTTTTCACAGGAGCTAATTGTTGAGTTGTAAGTCACAACAGTGGGATGAATCGTTGCATCATGCATGCAGTCGAAGAGTTGAAGGGCATGTTCCCACTGTCCCATCCTTAGCACTGCTTCCCAGCGCTGCGAGGCGCCCCCCCAGATGTTCCCATTGATCTGCCAAGATCAGAAAAAAGATGAAGTAATGTGGCGATATCATATAGTGACCTCCCAAAAAAGTCCGAAGTCTGCCACCGGGATGTTAGTTCGATTATGATTATATATATATACATCATATGTTTCAGGTTTTCAACTTTTCTACTGTATCTATTTTGGGGTTGCAAAAAATATTCGAACCATATGGATTCGTGGATAGATACCCCAAACCCTGTCTCAGTAACAGTTGAAATCCCTTTCAGCTCCAGTGAAGTCAAGCATCTTCTCGCATGCGCTGATGGTTGCATTGTACACGTACACATTCGCTTGGCGCTTCTTCTTGAGGGAATCGAATGTGTTTAGGGCCTCCTGCCATTGCTTGCATCGTCCGTGGGCGGTAATTCCAAGCACATGGGAGGGTAGCCTCAGCTGCCAATCCCTCTAAGGATACCAAAGGACAACCATAACAGGATTCACGTCTGCACCTCAGAAAAACACTTGAACCAAACAAAACATTCTAAACATCACAGCCTCGCAACTCAACGTTGACCCCCTTTTCAACTGCCATCTTGAGCAGAAGGGGCACCAGAATGGGCTTTTCCTTCAGCAACTTCTTCAGGAATTCCTGTAGCAACGCTGGTCGCTTTTGCCACTGAAGCCACTTGGCTTCAAGGTGCGAAGCGGCGCTGTGTGACAACATGGTCCCATGGCTTGGGCCCAAAACCACCGAGCCGAGTCAGTAAAGGGATGGAAAATGACATGGAAATCTTCCAAGGTCTACAGCATCTTACTGAGTGAACCTGTTTTTGTAGGCTTTTTTGGTGTGAATCTATCCCCATGGAGGAACTCCAATAAACATAGTTTCATGTTGTGTTACCCCATTTTTCAGGTTTAAAAAATATAAGAAAGAGAGATCTCTATATCCACATCTATATCTCTATACTCTCTATATATAGAGTTCTTGGGTTTTCCATTGGCCGTGGCGAGCTTTTTACAGTGGATTTGGAAATGGAGACCCCATGAGGCCTCCTAAAACACCTGAATTGCTTTGGTTTCAACTTTAACATACTTTATATACTCATACCCATCTGACAAGTTTTTAAAATGAAGTTGATTCTGTCGTGTATCAATCTGGCTGAATTATAGCAATTCACTGACCTGAAAAACGGATGATTCCTCTTAATTACTCATCATCATTCCAGTGACGTCATTGTCAGATCACTATGATATATTTTAATCCAAATCCATCCTAATCATTCACTAAGATCTTTCATCATGGACTTCTTATTCAGTTCCATCCTACTACAAACTAGGGTCGCCCATGTCCAGACATAAAATAACCCGAAAAATCCTGGATTTCCAAGGTCTGGAAAATAAGACACATCATTTCTCTGTTGGATTTCGATTAAAAAACATAAAATACCCTCTGGTAATTTAACATAGCTATGGAAAATCACAATTTTTAATGGGAAAATCCACTATAAATGGCCATTATCAATAGCAAACTGTTAGTTTACAAGAGGGTAAACAAAACCAGCCGTTAAATTACCAGAGGGTAACCAGCAAAAATCCTCTTTCTGTTTGATTTCCGAGGTCTCCAGGGTCTCCAGCCACCTTTGGATGTCCCTCTGGATCGATGCGCAGTGGATTTTCCACTGGTCCCGAGGGCCAGGGCAACTCCGCCTGCGCGGTGTCGCGTCGCGGTCAGGGGTGATGTGCGGCACAAACAACTGGGGATGGTGAAATGATGAAACAAACCCCCAAAAAATGGGAGTGCCACATTAGGCTGAACTTTCCAATTTTTTGAGGTCCAATGGCTCTCTCTCTCTCTCTCTGCATCGCCCTCTCCAAGAGTTCAGCCTGAGGCTAAAGGTGAGCCGTTGGCCCATTGGATCTGAGACATTTAGCTAATTTTCCATTCATCAAGATTCCACTGGTTTAAACGAGTTCTCAAATCAGGTGTGGTTTCCTACCGAGATCAATCATAGTCACAGAGCCAGTTTTTCAGAAAAATGGAGGCAGGAGGCCTCTCGCAATGTCAGGCTTTCTGCTTCTGCCGTCTTCTCCTCAGGTGCAATCCGATTGCCTGAGAAACCATACTGTACCCTCTGGTAAACAGCCACATAAACGAACTGGAACATCACCATGCTATTCATGGGAAAATCCACTATAAATCACCATTTTCAATAGCTATGTTAGTTTACCAATGGTATCAATCACTATTTCGATTGGGCCATTTTCAATAGCTATGTGAACGTTCACCAGAGGGTATCTCTGCTCAGCCCTTCCAACATCCAGAAGGCCCAGGCCTCCAACAGCTTCCATCTCGCCTTCGCCAGACACGTTGGAAACTTCTGGTTTGATGCTCCCAACATGTCTAATCAAACATAAGTCACTAATATAATCACATCAGATTTCTAGAATTTTTCTAGATATTGAAGGAAGTTTCCAGATAGTAAAAACACGCTGATTTTTGGTGATGTTTTCTAGAATGTTCATAGATATTCTGGTTGGTGGTATACCTACCCCTCTGAAAAATATGAAAGTCAGTTGGGGTTACTATTCCCAATATATGGAAAGTCATAAAAGCCATGTTCCAAACCACCAACCAGATTAGATACCCCAAAGCCCGTCTCTTAAATATGGTGATATTTGGTGATAGTAATTAAATATGGTGATATTTGGTGCTATGATTTAATGACATATTTTCAAGAAATTTTCATAGATCTTTTCCATTATTAACCACTATTAACCACTATTTAATACAGATTATCAACCATTATTAACCACTATTAACCATAGATTTACCCAGGAAAATTCCATGGTTCCAGTCACCACCAACCAGGCCTCATCCCTTGCCCTGGCCGCCACTCGCTGCTGTGCTTCCATCTCTGGATCCACCTTAACACGTCGTCGTGCACCGGGTCACCGGTGGGTTTGGGAGTTCCCTGGGGGAAACATCGAAAAACATGGTGGAAAAACCCGTGGAAAACCTATGGGAAACCCATGAAAACCCATGGTTTCTGTAGGGAAATGATCCACAAATGATGGGATATGGATTTCATATGTTTTTCCACGAATCTATGGCAATGTTTACAGGAGGGTAGGTCTGAAGCGCATCAGAATGTTGGGCACCCAAGTGGGCCCATACGACAATCTTGACATGTCCAGACCAACCTATCGATTGAATCTGGCAAAAAACACATGCCATCTTCAGATTCGACGGCATCTTGGCCTCACCAAATTAGATCAAACTAGACAAAACCATATAGATCAAACTATAGATCAAGTTAGTATCTATCTCCACCAAACGGAAACTCAACATTTCAGGGATATTCAGGGAATGATCCCCACCTATCATGCTGACATCGCTAATCATGGACACTCCATAGCTTCACCAACCAGCGAGGCACTGAAACTGCCGGCCGCGGTGCTGGCGTCTCGGCTCCTGGTCCGGGGTATATTCTTGGGCCGATGGATGGATGGTGGTTCTTCCTTTTTTTTGGGGGGGTTTGTTGATGATGATGAAACATATATTTTCTGTGCCCAAACAATGATGATGGTGATGGTGATGGTGGTGATGGTGATGATGATGGTGGTGATGGTGATGGTGATGATGGTGATGATGGTGGTGATGATGATGGTGATGGTGATGATGGTGATGATGGTGATGATGATGATGATGGTGATGGTGGTGATGGTGATGTTGGTGATGGTGATGATGGTGGTGATGGTGGTGATGGTGGTGATGGTGGTGATGGTGATGATGGTGATGATGGTGATGGTGATGTTGATGCTGATGATGATGATGATGATGGAGACTTCTCGTCCCCAAACACCAAGTGATGAACCAACTCAAACATCACGCCAGTTGAGAAAACCCCCAAGATGCTCCTGCATCAGCCGCGGGCGGTGGCTTGCTGTCAGGGATACCTGACGCCGAGCCGAACACTGTATGGGTTTGGCATTGAGAGGAGTTAACCCGGGGTAAAGATAGAAAAAGATGTGGAAAACCCGTAATTTCCCAAGGAAAATGATCTACACATACCTACAAATGGGAGTTAAGAAACCAATTTTCACAGGATTGCCGTAGATATCAATACAATCCAATACATATTTTTGATTGTTCCTGGGCTATGATGTATTATAGAAAGCAGAACATGCACAACATATGGCAAGATCGGTAGTAAAATGCGCCAAGATAATCGACATCCTATGAGGACTCAGTGGTGGGAGAGCAGCAAAGGTAAAACAGAAACTGGAGAACCGAGGGTTCCTGGACGCTTTTGACCGTTTATCCCAATTATGCCACACTAACATAGCCAACCTTAGATACCCTGCCAAAACAATGTCGTTGTTCATTTTTCTTTTTAAAAGCTGGATAGTCCATATCCTCATCTACATAGAAAAGGATTAAGGTACCAAGGGCCTCTATATTTATATCGAAAACAGTTAATGTTGGCAACCACCCAATGCCATAAATCAACCATTTGGGGATGGTTTATACCACCCATAATAATGCTGATTTTGCGGATGGGTTATATGGTTATGGCAGTGGGTTTGCCATGGTTTACCACATTCCCAAAGATGACTAAAGTGCCCATCCACGGTCTCCCATGCAACCGGATAATTTTTAAGACAGAGACCTGTCCCCTTT